TCCTCTCTGCTGTCGATCTTCACCAGGTCTGATCCCAGATCAGTGCAGGAACGTCTGCTGTCAGTCCAGGAGGATTTACTGGTGGAGAAATAATAACAGTTTCCTCCATGTTGCTCCCATCTTGCTTCACACTTCAGACATGTCAGATCTTCAAAGACAAAACCTTCAATGAACCAGGAGGAATAAATCTCTGTAGATATTTGTGTGGTTTGGAGACAGCAGGAGGCGTCTTCTGTCCTGCAGCTACAATTTAACTTCCTGTCTCTGTCAGTCCATCAATGTCTCTTTTTTTAAGGTTTTGTTGGCTCTTGTGGCCTTTATTTGAAAGTAGATTGACAGGAAAGAGGGTTATGAGAGAGGGGGAAGAAGACATGCAGCAAATGTCACCAGGCTGGGAATCAAACCTGCGACCACCAGCATGAGGACTAAGGCCTCAATACATGGGTTGTGCTTTGCCCCTGTGCCACCACAACATCAATGTCTCTTTAACATCATTAGAGGACAGAAATGAGACAAAGATCAGATCATGGACTTACTCTTTGCTGCAGGAGGTGGAGGACATTTTGAAGGTGGAGGACATGTTGGCTGTTCCCTTAGTTCTGTTTAGAGAAATAAAAACAGTTTCTATATAACCATAATCAGTTATTTTCTTCTTCTAAGGCTGAGCTGATGAACCAACATGTCCGCCCTGTCAGAACCCTGGCTTGGTTGAGTTGCTTTGGTGTCTTGATCATTTAATTCTAGCTCCATTGTTAATGTGTTGCTTAGTTCCTTGTTTCCATTTTACTTTATGTCAGACCTCTCTCAGTGATTTCAGTCAATGTTTATTTATTCACTGTGTCTAGTTGCAGGTTACAGGTTACTCTAGTAGATTCATTTCCTAGTTCCTCTGCTGTGTGCTCTCCCTGGACCCTGAGCCATCCTCTCTGTCTCTCTCCCTTCATACCTGCAGCCTGTTTCTAACCAGCCATCTGTTCCTTGTTCAGTAATCAACCTCCAGTATATAATACTCATTCTCAGTCACTCCTTGCTGGTTGCTCCTGCTAAATCCCGTCGGTTTACTCTGCTGGTGTTTTGTGACCAGTATTCTTGTTTTTGTTTGCCTCTGGCTCCCTGTGCTGCTTCTGGTTTGTGAACATTTTTTATTAAAACAACAAAATGTACTAAGCATCTCTGCCTGCTGCCTTTGGATCCACCATCAAGACACACACTTTGTTCTCAGTCTGAATCTTCTGGACCTTCAGACTCTGAAAGTCTCACCTGAGATATTTTTCCCCAGAGCTTCATTCTTGTCTTTCAGAGTTTGGATGGTTTGATTGCTGCGTATTTTATCAAACGCTGTAAAGAACAGATGGAAATTAGATTTTCAAAGACTTTCATCTCCAACATGACAAACGCTGATTTAAAAAGAAGAAACTGGTTAAAAACAAAATAATTCAGAATAAAATATGTTCATACAAATCACATTTTATTCTGACCTTCAAGAAATTAAATTAATTAAAAGAATGACCCAAAAGACAAACTCACAGAGTCTGACGATGACAATGAGAGCAGCAGCCAGCAGACCGACCAGAACCAGCAGAACTACTCTCTCTGCTGACATCCTGCAGGTTCTGCTTGGGTTTTCACCTGAGGAGCATTTAGAGCAGAACCAGATCAGAACCTGGAGACAGACTTACAGAAAGTAACAAACCTAAACCTGACATCTATTGTATACAAATTAAAACTGAACTGCAGACACCGCCACAGGAATCTGCATGAAGCTGCAGCAGGAAATGTTTCCCTAAAATGGACAAAGATTTTTCTGGAAAAATCTGAATTAAATCAACACTTTACTAAGTCTGGTTCTCATCAGAACTGGTGTTAATCCACCATGTATTCTACTAACTTGTTGAAATAAGTCTAAAACAGTCAGTAACCTTTGATCCTTTAAGTCTGTTAAATGTTTTTGTCCTCAGGTTAGAAATGTGTTGAAACTCTGACTTTGAGTCCATTTGTCCTGCTGTAAGTGACCCAGAGGAGGAACATGATGAAATCATGTTTGTGTAACCAGTTCAGATGAAACGTCGTCTTGATGCTGGTTTGATGCCAGGCTGAATTACCAAACACTAACATGTTAAACTTGAGGCCTGATTATCATGACTCATGTTCTCCGCTTCGTCCAGGAGGAGTGAACGCTGCAGGTCAGCGACTCGATGAAATCTGCTGGGTTTCCTGACATGGAAACTTTTTAATCTAATTTGGATGATGAACTGAAGTTGGTGCACTTTTTGGTAACGAATACACAGTTTATGAACGAATTAGTTCATAAACTGAACTGAACTGTTATGTGGTTCATGACGCAAACTGTAAGAACTTAAGCAAGAAAACAAGAAGTTCTTCAGTTCAGTTCTTCAGAAATTCGACTCTTCCTCTATTTGGCGTCTCCATTATTTTACTTGTTTAACTTTCTTCTTTCCTCTGTTTGTGATTTCATATCCGTCTGTTTAACTCAACAGTTAAAGTGTCTTTGATTTGTTTCTGTTTTCCTCCAGTTCAAATGTCTAAAAAGCAGTTTGTGTTCAGCCTGTTTATCTGATGAAGACCTCTCCGCTCTGACTGCAGCTTCTTCATCACTTCCTGCTGGTTTACCTCCACATTAATATTCTCACCTTCTGTGTGTCTCTGTGAGGACCTCATGATGAGGAAACTGAAGACAAAAACAGGCACAGCTGATGTTTCCTGTAGAAGTTCACCTTCATGGAAACAGATAATTACATTTTTAAATCTCCAAGCTACGGTCATCAATATGACGAGAAACAACGGCTCTGAATATTTCACTTCCTGAGATGAATGGTAAGAAATCTTTAACTTTTACACAATATTCACATCTGTAGAGCCGTACTAGTATTTAAGAAGCATAATAATCCAGAAAGAAGATCGTTAGTATTTATTCAGTCATTATCACAAATTTCATGTTGGTTTTTTTCCATTTCATTGTTACTTTGTTTTAAAATACCCAAAACAAATCATCCAAAAGTGGGAATATTTAAAAATATTGAATACATTTCCAATATTTTGACTGAATGAAACAGAAAATCATCTGAACTCACCTCCAGCCTCCCTCCTCTGTTGACGTTTCAGTTCTTCTGTCGCAGCGTCGGCTTCATGTTTCATGACTTTATGTTAAAGAAACTTCCTGATTAACCTGATGAAGAGGAGGAGTCTTCATCTGCTGCCACTTCCTCATTATTCTGTCTAACTCTCAGTATTTTTAAACAACATAAACTATTTAATTTCTCTACTCATTTAATCAAAGATGACATTTCTCTTTATTTTATTATAATTTCCAGTCATATTTATTTCCATCTATCGTCTGTAGGCTGCTGCTCTGATCCATTGGTGATCATTTATCATTAATCTCACATTGTCCTGCAGGTCTTAGTGTTGTTGGTAAACAGCAAAATAAAAAAATAAAAATCATTGTCCCTTAATTAATGTCCCTAATATATTAATGCATTTTATTTTAAGTTATTAGGACGGCATGAATACAACATAAACATATATGAACTATATGAAAATAGTCATTGCTGTATTTTTAACAAAAGGTTAATACAGGATTATTTAATTCTCGGTGCTAAACTAATGAACGACTCTCTGCTGTGGCTGCAGTTCATTTAGCTTCGTGTAAAAAACCTCCTGGATGTTTGCAGACGACATCGTCGCAGTGGAGCCTCTTCAGATCAGCTCATGAAAAAACAACTTTAAACATTCATGGTCAGACATTTTGTTTGGCCCAGACTCTCTTCACACTTCCTGACTTTAGATAAAAATAAATGTTCTCTCTGGAAAAGGTTTGGTGAAGTTGGGAAAGGACCATGCAAAACTCATCATATGAATAAACTTCCAGTTTGTAACATTAGGAGCCTTAAATTTATTATTTTATTCATGTTGAACAAATTTCCTGTTGAGCTTAAAGGATGAAAAGGAGAGTGAGGCAGCTTCATCTGCTGTTTGGTTCTTAATGGTTTCATTTTTATCTTCTTTTACTTCAGATAAAACAAGAAGAAGAACTTAAATTAGATTCAAATGAAGTTTTTTACTGTTTTATTCTCCTAAGCATTAAATTATGATTAAACGCAGATGTGGATGTGCTGCCCTCTGGTGGTCATAGTTTCTTCTGAAATTTTTTGGGAACATTGTTATGTCAGTGAATTTTATATAAAGAACAAAATATCTGAAACATTTAAAATTATGAGTAAAAATTCCTGAAAATTGTACAAATGTCATTAAAAAACCAACATATGAGAGTTTATTTTATTTGCCTCTTGTTTTCGGAGCTATAATGATGAATAAAAATCAGATCAGATTTTCAAATTACAGGATTTTAGTTTTTTAAAAACATGTCTTAAAGACAGTTTTACAAAGGATGCCAGAAGGATCTCAGTGCTGGTTTCTCACAGATGCTTCTCCAGTGAAGATCACAGTCTTGATCAAACCAACATATCAGATCATCAGCTCCTCCTTTCTTCCCCATCCCTCCACAATCCTCTCCAACTGGATCTGTTATGTTCTGGTTATCAGGCTCCCAGGGCATCCAGAAACTTAAACTGAGAGACAAAGAGCAGCAAAGTTCAGTAAAAACATGTGACTTTGATAAATATAAAAATGTTTCCAAACTAATCAAAACTTTTTATTCAGAGGTGACCCATCAACCCAGAGCCATTTGCCTTCTTCCTTTGAGTCAGTCAGTCCGATCCAGAACTTTTCTCCATCGTTTTCCATCAAATCCCTCACCCTGATCTCCAGGAACATCTGAAACAGTGAGATTTTTCTGAGCTCAGATGAAGAAACATGATGCTGAGATGAAACCAGAGAGAAGCTGAGCTGCAGCAGAGTTTCATACCTGCTCCTCTCTGCTGTCGATCTTCACCAGGTCTGATCCCAGATCAGTGCAGGAACGTCTGCTGTCAGTCCAGGAGGATTTACTGGTGGAGAAATAATAACAGTTTCCTCCATGTGGCTCCCATCCTGCTTCACACTTCAGACATGTCAGATCTTCAAAGACAAAGCCTTCAGTGAACCAGGAGGAATAAATCTCTGTAGATGTTTGTGTGGTTTGGAGACAGCAGGAGGCGTCTTCTGTCCTGCAGCTACAATCTAACTTCCTGTCTCTGTCAGTCCATCAATGTCTCTTTAACATCATTAGAGGACAGAAATGAGACAAAGATCAGATCATGGACTTACTTTTTACAGCAGGAGGTGGAGGACATGTTGGAGGTTTTGGACATGTTGGCTGCGCTGTTTAGAGAAATAAAGTCAGTTTTAACCTCAGTCAGTTATTTTCTTCTCCTAAAGCTGAACTGATGAACAAACATGTTCAAACTTTGGTCTCTTGTTGGTGAACTTCAGTCCAAACATGATCAGATGTTGATCACAGATTTACATCTGATGCATGAACATCTGTGCAGGTGTTGAGCGTCAGCAGCTTCATCAGACTGACAGTCATCATGTGATGCAGCAGAAACATTGTTGGATAAAGAGCAGAAAGCATCAGGAGGAGAAACATTGATCTGTTTCAGCAGAAACATCTCAGCAGTTTCACCACTAATGCACCAAACTGATGTGTTACAGTAACAATGTTAACCTGGTTTTTACATTAAACTTCACAATGTTGCAGAGACTCACTGACTGTGTTTATTTTGAAATTCGATCCAGATTTGATCAAAGGAGTCCATATCATCAACACACTGAAAGACACCATCAGTCTGACTCTTCTGGAAACCTTCAGACTCTGACAGTCTCACCTGAGATATTTATCCTCAGAGCTTAATTCTCCTCTTTCAGGGTTTGGAAACTTTTATTGGTCTCCAACATGGAAAACGCTGATGGAAACAAAGAGAAAACAGTCAAAGACGTAAAGATGTTCACACAGATCACCTGTTATTTATTCTGACCTTCAAGAATTAAAGTCAGTGAAAAAAACGATCCATCAGGATGAACTCACAGAGTCTGTAGATGACGATGAGAGCAGCAGCCAGCAGACCGACCAGAACCAGCAGAACTACTCCCCCTGCTGGCAGCTTGGAGGTTCTGCTTGGGTTTTCACCTGAGGAGCATTTAGAGCAGAACCGGATCAGAACCTGGAGACAGACTCAGAAACTAACATCTGATCTGATGTTCTGACCTTCTTCAGGGTTCTGTGGACGATTCATCATGAAGACGCTTCAGTCCAATCCACTGAGAAACAAAATGAAAAAGATTTTTAGAATTTAATATCAGTTTACTCATTTCACATCTAATTACAGTTAATTTATTATTATTATTATTATTATTATTATTATTATTATTATTATTATTATTATTAATTAAATAATTAATTTAGCCTTTATTAAACCAGATTAATCTCATTGAGGGTTGAGATATTTCGGCCAATACTGCAGTATAAATGCGAGGTGCTCATTGGCTCAGTTGGTAGCACTGTTTCCTTGTAGTCTTTCTTTCTCTAAATTCTCCTTAGTGTGTGTGTGTATGGTTGTGTGTCCTGTCTGTCTCTGTGTTGCCCTGCGACAGAGTGGCGACCCGTCCAGGTGACCCCGCCTCTCACCTGAAACTGTCACTGGAGAGGAACCAGCACTTCCTGACCCCACTGGGGAGAAGGGTGTTAGAAAATGGATGGATAAATGCATTAAACATTAACATTTGCTCATAGAAAACACTGAACCAGGGCCGGCTGTAGTCTGTTTGGTGCCTCGAGCAAACACCACTCTAGTCATGAAGAAACCACCACAAGAATTTGTTACGCCAGAATTTGAAGCTGTTCTTTTCTGTGACTTCAGCTAAACAAATACAAGACTTGAATACTTAGCACCAAAAATATTTCATGTCCTGTCTCAGACCTCAGCAGGCTGCTATATGCACTGCAGCAGGCAGAGGGCGCCCTCTCCCAGGCAGGCGGTAACTGGTTGGACCCGCTTATGAAGCCTGATGCTCGGAGCAAATCATCCTTCCGGGGCGGAGCTGGGAGCTGCTGTGGCTCCAGACGAGCTGCCCACAAAACCCACAGCAGGAACCAGAGCTGCTGGTCGACACGTTAACCTGCTGCAGCTTCACTGGTTACTAGTTACTAGTCATTAGTTATTAGCAGCAGAGGGACGAATGGAGGAAACTGAACTTCTTAGGGTGACGCACAGAAAGATAAGAAAAGCTGAAAAATTAACTTGAAAATGTAATCATTATTAATAATGAGTTCTGAATATTTCCAGAGTCCAAACGTGATATTCTCAGATTAAATCCAAGCTGATTTTACACAGAATGACAATATCTGGTCAAATAAAGAGCGTCAGTGAGCATTAAAGTTTTAAAACTCACCATAAATGTCCTCGTCCTCTGCAGGCAGAACAGAATGATAGTTATCAGAAAAATTTCATATCTCATATCCAGTGAAGCTTCCTGTTGACTCTAAAATATTCTCTTCATCTGCTGCCTCCTCCCTCATCCATAATTTGAATTTATTCAGACTTCTTCAATTCAAGTCTGTGATAACNTCTTCTTAATCTGTGATGGGATCTGGATTCACAGTGAATATTAACTAAACCGCATAAAATGCGACTAAATAGCCAATGTTAATATGATTGAATATGATTTACAGTAAATTGCCGTTAGTTGTGAATCTTACTGTTGTAAATGCAGCCGTGCTGTATGAGGCGTTACGGTACAATATGACAGAAACATTCAGACTCTGACAGACTCACCTGACAGGTTTCTCCTCAGAGCTTCATTCTCCTCTTTCAGGGTTTGGATGGTTTGATTGGTTCGTATTTTATCAAACGCTGATTGGAGAAACAAAACATCAACTTGTGAAGGCCTGTGATTGACATCATAGGTAAACGTCAACTATGAGAGACAAAATGAGAAGAAATTTCAGAAAATCACATTGTCTGATTTTTAAAGAATGTATTTGTAAATAAGGGTGGAAAATAAGTATTTGGTCACCTAAAAACAAGCAAGATTTCTGACTGTCACAGACCTGTAACTTCTTCCTTAAGAGGCTCCTCTGTCCTCCACTCATTACCTGTATCAATGGCACCTGTTTGAACTCGTTAACAGTATAAACGACACCTGCCCACAGCCTCAAACAGTCACACTCCAAGTTCCACTATGGTGAAGACCAAAGAGCTGTTGAAGGAAACCAGAACAGACCTGCACCAGGCTGGGAAGACTGAATCTACCACATGCAAGCAGCTTGGTGTGAAGAAATCTACTGTGGGAGCGATAATCAGAAAATGGAAGACATACAAGACCACTGCTAGTCTCCCTCCATCAGGGGCTCCACGAAATGAAAACAAATACTTTATTTTATGATGTAAGATCAAAATGGTCCCACACTGCGGAAACCTTTCGTTTGCCTTGAGGCTGCTCCATAGTTGACGCTGTCCGTAAAAGATCAAGAATTCGTTTGGCAAATGCATTTGACAGATTCGCTTCCTTATAAACACAGTTTGACACTTTAATGTAATTTTGAATCAGTTCCTGTATTGGTCACGTGACTTACTGAAAGCAACACGCACACCAACGTGGGGTTTGGTCTATGGGCTTGACACATGCGCAGACGCATCAGGGTTGCCGGACCCATCACTACTCCATGCAAAATCTCAGCCCGTGGGGTCAGAATGTGTCATGAAAAGCTGGTGTGGTGTTGAGGCAGAACGCTGACGGCCCATGTTATGGATGAAAACAATGATTTAATGAAGATCTCTCAGCTCAGACAGTCCAAACAAGCAGGCAGCACAGTAGAAGGTAACAGAGCTAACACTGGTAGCAAACGACTGAAACGAGAGCTGACGTCAACACAGGACTTAAACCAGTTCTACTGAGATGACTGAAAATAAACTCAACGACTGCAATCTGACTTGCGACACATGACAAGGAACACAGACAACAGGTGGGATTAAATACACAGGGGGTAACCAGGGAACTAGACACAGCTGGGAACAATCAACAGGGAAGACAGGACAGAGACTCACAGGGAAACAGGACTAAACACAGAAAACTTCAAAATAACTACACAGAAAAACACGGATCACAACAGAATGATCAGAAGAATGGTGAGCAAAAATCCCAGAACCACACAGGGGGACATAGTGAATGACCTGCAGGAAGCTGGGATGAAAGTTACAAAGGCTACTGTCAGCAACACACTACGCCGCCAGGGACTCAAATCCTGCAGTGCCAGACGTGTCCCCCTACCCAGGTGCGTCTCAAGTTTGCTAGAGAGCATTTGGATGATCCAGAAGATGACTGGGAGAATATCATATGGTCAGATTAAACCAAAATAGAACTTTTTGGTCAAAACTCTACTCGTCATGTTTGGAGGAGAAAGAATGCTGAGTTGCATCCAAAGAACACCATACCAACTGTGAAGCATGGGGGTGGCAGCATCATGCTTTGGGGCTGTTTCTCTGCAAAGGGACCAGGACGACTGGTCTGTGTACATGAAAGAATGAATGGGGCCAGGTATTGTGAGATTATGAGTGCAAACCTCCTTCCATCAACAAGGGCATTGGAGATGAGACGTGGCTGGGTCTCTCACCATGACAATGATCCCAAACACACTGCCACGGCCACACAGGCGCCACTTCGTAAGAAGCATCTCAAGGTCCTGGAGTGGCCTAGCCAGTCTCCAGATCTCAACCCCATAGAAAACCTTTGGAGGGAGTTGACTGTCGTGTTGCCCGCCGCCAGCCCCAGAACATCACTGCTTTAGAGGAGATCTGTTTGGAGGAATGGGCCAACATTCCAGCAACGGTGTGAGCCAACCTGGTGAAGACTTACAGAAACCATTAGACCTCTGTCATTGTAAACAAATGATATGGAGTATTGAGATGAACTTTTGTTATTGACCAAATACTTATTTTCCACCTTGCAAATAAATTCTCTAAAATTCAGACAATATGATTTTCTGAATTTCTTTTTCTCATTTAGTCTCTCATAGTTGAGGTCTACCTATAACGTCAATTACACGCCTCTCATCTTTTTAAGTGGGGGAACTTACACAATTGGTGACTAAATACTTTTTTCCCCACTAAATGTGATCATGTTCATATGAATTTCGCCTTCCAAACCACGTTGGGATGAACTCACAGAGTCTGTAGATGACGATGAGAGCAGCAGCCAGCAGACCGACCAGAACCAGCAGAACTACTCTCTCTGCTGACATCCTGCAGGTTCTGCTTGGGTTTTCACCTGAGAAGCATTTAGAGCAGAACCAGATCAGAACCTGGAGACGGACTCAGAAACTAACATCATCAACCCCATGATTCTTCTTATCATGATATTCTTGGCTGTCCTTTACTGAACCTGTTCTGTTTCTGTCAGTTTGGTTGTTACAGAAACCAGCGTGTTGAACATTATCAAACATCTGCATGAGAATCAAATGAATGTTGATGATGAAGCTGGTCCTGTTATGAAACTACTAACTGCTGCAAATACAAATAACCTTTTAACTGTGCAGAAACAGGAACATATACTGTGTGCACAATTATTACGCAAGTTTTGGTTTTGACCATATCGTAATTTTTATGCATATTTTCCAGCTCCAAGCTGTATAAACTCAATGTTTATTAAATATAAACATGTCTGTTGTGTATTTGTTTAATGAGGGAGGTGGGGCCTAAAGGAGATCAACACCATCATTCAAGATGTGCAGAATTATTATGCAGCTTCTTTTCCTCATGCAAAAGGGGCCAAAAGAGATTTAAGTGACTCTGAACAGCCCAGAACTGTAAAAACTCTTTCAGAGGGAAGCTGTGCTCCTGAAACTGCTAAGATATTGGGTCATGATCACAGAACCAACAAACGTTTTGCAGCAAATATTCAACAGGGTCTCAAGAAGCATGTTGAGAAATAAAGATGTAAATGAACTGCCAAAGATTTGAAAAGAATCAAACATGAAGCTACCAGGAATCCATTATCTTCCAGTTCTGTCATATTCCAGAACTGCAACCTGGAGAGCCCAGAAGTATGAAATATTCAGGGCTAGAGACCAAGATAAGTAAGACTGAAAGCCGAACACAACTGAACAAGACACATAGCTGAAACATCAAGACTGGGCCAAAGGTTTTATGGACTGATGAGATGAGACTGACTCTATGGACCAGCTGGACTGACGGACCCGTGTCTGGATCAGTAATGGGCCCAGAGCTCCATTTCACATCAGATGCAGCTAAAAAACTAAAACATGCACAATAATTGTGCACATAATGTAGAGATTCAAGATGTCAGACATTCATAAATGGTGAGAAAAGATGTAAAGCTGCAAACTGTGGCAACCAAAAGAAGAACATTTTAGTTCTTCAGGAACATCAGCCTTCCTCTTTGTGGCTTTCCGTTTTTTCTTGCTTAAGTTTCTTTTCATTTATTTTTAACTCATGACAGTCTATTTAATAAACTCAACCGTTAAGGTGCCTTAAAGCATTTAACTGCTTTAGGTGTTAAATGCCTATAGCAGTTTGTGTTCAGCCTGTTAATCTGATGAAGACCTCTCCACTCTGACTGCAGCTTCTTCACCTCCTTCCTGCTGCTTTACCTCCACATTAATATTCTCACCTTCTGTGCATCTCTGTGAGGATCTCATGATGAGGAAACTGAAGACAAAATAGTCACAGTGGATGCTTCTTGTTGCAGCTTCTATAAAGAAAAGTAAAACATGTAAATCTTAAAGTTTAGCTGCAGTTCTCAGTTCAGGAGACAGTTTTCTTTTTATGACTGAAATCCCAACTATTAAAGAAAGTCATGATATTTGCCTTTTTCAGGTTTACTTAAAACTCCACCTGAATTACTCACCAAGCATAAAAGTCCAGACAGAAGATAGTTACTTCTTTACTCTGTTATCACACACATTTTTTAAATACTCATCAAAGACAAGTGATGATAAAAGCAAAAATATTTTAAAGCATTAAACAAATGAAGCTTTTATTGAGCTAAATTTAATAAAAAATAATACTTTTTTAGAATTGGACATAAAATTAGTTAACCTCACCGCTGACCTCGCCTCAGTTCTTCAGATCTGTCGATGCGTCGGCTTTACGTTTCCAGACTTTATGTTGAAGAAACTTCCTGCTTCACTTGATGATGATGAGGAGGAGTCTTCACTGTTCATTTCCTCACTTCCTGTCCTCTTTTTCTTCTCACGTATTTTAATTATTATTATCATTAACTTAAGGTTAATGATAGAGTTAGGACAAAGGTGTGAATTGAGTTTTGGTTAGGGTTAGGAAAAGGGTAAAGGTAAGGTTTAGGCTGTAGAAATTAATGGAAGTCAATGGAAAGTCCCCACAAATATGTATGTGCGTGTGTAGGTTGAACTTAAGTCAATGAATGCTGCACCAGACATCTCTCCCAGCGACAGTCTGATATGTGGTGCAGAGTTTATCAGCGACCTGACAGAGCCACAGCTGTCACTGGCAGCAGAGTGTCTTCGTTAAATAACATCCAGGAGAATTTGAGAGAGCAGCGGCCCAAAGCCAATGCAGGAGGAGCCGGTTCAGAAAGCGACGCCGTTCATTTTCCATCTGCCTTAAAGTCTCACTGGTTCATCTCAGCGGTGATTCCAATCATCCAAATTGGAAATTGGTCATTCAGCTGAGCTGAGTTTGTAATTTCTCCAACATGGATTCCATCTCAGAGAGCTGCAGGGTCCACAGCTGGCCTGCGACTCTGCAAGAATCTCCTTCAGTTTGTTGCTCTGCTTGCAGCATGAGAGTCTGAGCTTCATCTTTACACTGACCAGGCAGCCTGACAACGGCTGAAGCAGCTGTTGACATCTTCTGAATTTCTCGATATACCAGGTAACCGAGAATCCAAGCAGCAGAAATCCTGTTATCAAAAATTCATGTTCAAATGGACTGCTGTCCACTTCCACCAGGAATCCATCGTGGATGCAGCTGCATGAGTCTCATCAGGTCAGGAGGCTCTCCTTCGAGTCGTCTTGTCCTGAAAATGTTATCAGTTGTGTTGAGAGACCAGCTGACCAGATCCATGACTTCAGATGAAATGCAAAGAGAGGCTCCAAAAAAGACAGCACAGGACAGACAAGGAGGGAGCAGAGAGAACAAGTGTCTGTCTTCAACAAGAACAGGAAGAGAAGACAGACTGGTCCAGTCGCCTTTGGATCAGTCTGTCCAGAGGCGACTGGACCTGCCCTGCATGCCCACATCCACTCCAGTTAACCTGACATGCAGGCTGTGGGAGGAGAGAACATGCACTGGAAGAAGAAAGACCCCAACCCAAGAGGCTTCCTGTTTTTATCATGAAACTCAGATGTGGATGTGCTGCCCCCCTGTGGCCGATCTGTTTGTTCAAAGCTTGTTTTTAAATTGCATTGTTGCATCGGAGCGGCTAAAGCCATACATTTCTCTGCTGCTCTCATTTTAAGTTATTCTCCAGTTGGAAATTTGCATCAATGCTTTGTTTATATAATTAATAATTTGATTAATAAGGTATTATTAAACTATTAATACAAATAAAATGTCTTTAGTTGAATCAGGGCACCATCCAGGATCTCTGGAATCAAAAGTCAAACTTGTCAGGCTTCTGGGTTGTTTACTTGTTTTTGGAGTTTGTTTATTATTTTCTGTGTTCCAAAGTTTTTTATTTTGATTAAATCAGTTTTGTTTTTATGAGTAACATATTATTAGATACAGGGAATAAACATAATAAATTAGAACCAGTGAGTACTGAACTAAAGTAAAATAGAAACAAAGCTGATTAAAATATGAAACTAAAGAACACAATAATCAAAACAATGTGTTCAAATAATCAACAATAATTATCGTTGATTATTTATAAGCACGTCTTGACACTTGCTTTATAACTTATACCTTGAATTAAATTTGTAAAATAAACATTTCTGATTGAAAAAAAATAACTTTTTTTTTACTTTTCTTCTTTTCCCTCCAACTTTCTGAGGCCCTCTACCGCCCCCTGGCGGCCCCCACTTAGAAAACCACTGCACTAGAAAGCCTCCACGCTGCACATTTATGGTAATTACCAACACACCAATCCCAGGCCGCCTCTCATCATATGTCATCTGTCCAGGTTTGGACAGCTTGTCTGTTTTTAGGCTTTTGTTCCTCAGATGAAGGAAAAGCTGCAAAAGCTGAGATCACAGTTTAATCTGAAGTGGTTTTGACAAGTTAACAAGCTTCCTGTCTTCAGTTCCTCTGACACCAAACGGCACACAAGACTAAATTATTCATCTTTAAGGTAAAAGTGATCAAAGTTTTATCAGCTTCACCTGCTGCTTTACACATGGATTGAAATAGTATGTTTAGTATCAGCTCATAATTTAAAGTTTTATTTCAAACCGCTGTGCTGCATAGAATTAACACTGTTTAATTTGGGACTTCCTGTCAGATGTGACCGGCATCGCTGACATCAGGATTATTTTAAAAGCTGACAGAAACATCTGGTCTGTTCTTCAGCAGGACGATGGCTGAAGACGATGTAATGTACACTGATGTGAAGTTCAACAGACCAAGAGCCGAAGGTAAGAATGTCCATCTGAAAACGACTCACCTCTGGATTTCAGTCAGTCAGGAGCAACAAAATGTGACTCTTTTAACGTAGGAATTAAAACAACAACAATAACAACAACAAAAAGCATTAAAGTCATTCTCGTTTATTGTTTTTCACTGAACAAGAATGACTGATTTCCAGAAAAAAAACATCCTCATATTCTCTATGGGATTGAGGTCCGGGCTTTGACTGGGCCTCTCCAGAACCTCCACCTTCTTGTCTTCAGATCATTTATCTGCAGCTTTAGATGTTTCAGGTTGTTGTGATGCTGGGAAATAAAAACTTGTCCTGAGCAGTAGTTCTCATCTAGATGGTATCAAATTACCCTCCAGAAGTTTTCTTTTTGGTATCCATCCCCTGAATTATACTTCAATAACCTTGTCTCTGATTGGGTGCTTAGTTTATCCATTTAATCCGTTTAGTTCTCTGATCTCCTTCACACTTCTCTGTGTTTCTGTTGTCCAGATGAGGCTCCAGGAGCTGAAGTCGTTTATTCTAACGTCACGATGCCAAGAACCAAACATCCAGGTGAGCAAAATAAAAAAAGTCAGCCAGTTTGTATTAGCACACTCTCTGATTTATTAAAATGTAGTATTTGATGTTTTGTTGCCATCTCTGTTAGATATTTTATGTTTTTTATGTTAAATTAGGAAATTAAAGTAGCTGAACAGTAAATGTACTCATGGAAACAGATCAGCCAGAAAAGATGCGTCTCATTAACTGCACCGCAGTTTTTCAAGATTCAAGAAGTTTCTGAGCAGAAGTCATTTCTATTTAAAGATTTTCCTCATCAGAAGCAACGACAGCGTCATCGCTTCAGTTCCTCTTCTGCCATGTTTGGTGATCCAGAGTTTACCTTTTCTGTTTGTTTCTTAGGTTCTTAGATGTGATGCATGAAGTGATTCTGAGAACAAACCTTCATTTACGCTTTTATTACAAAGTAACACCAGAACTCTACAGATCACTCTGCTTTATGTTTCTTAGCCTTTTTGGTAGAAAGGTGATCGAAACTGTAGAATATCGCTGGACTGAATGTGGCGGCCATGTTTTTCTGTCAGTTCAGATCATAATGAGAATATTATTATTTCATATCAGAAAGAAACATTAGTACTGCTGTTCTCAGTTATTGGACCTTTGACAGAAGTTTGTCTGTTTTCCATCTCAGTCTGTTCAAAGTGTGCCATAGATGCTCAACAAGCTGGACAGGGCATAAGGTCAAAGGTCACCACAGAGCGAGTGGTCCTGCTGGTTATTATTGGCATATTGGTGGTTACCATCATCGCCCTTGCAGTCAGTGAGTTTAAATGTTTTTATTGTTCTATATATTATTGTTGATTTTTTTTTTTTGTAAAAGATAAAGATTTTCTGGATTTTATTTTACATTTCTTTTAATCTGGTACTTTTATTTTTCTCTGTTCAAATTGATCTCAACTGGAAAATATAATTAAACTGGTGATCAGTAAAAGTAAAGGTCAGACTGTCAAGATTTAAAAGTGTTCAAAATGTTTAATTAAAACTTTCATTCTGAGCTATTAGAACATTTTAACTTGAGTCTAATTCAATTAAATCAAGATTTTTTACAATAATCTCAAGTTTAATTCTGACACATTACTGACATCAATCTGTTTTCCAGTTATAAAAATGTTAGGTTCTTTTTCAACTGCAGGCAAACTTCTGCTGCTTGTCTTTGTTTTTCACTCACTACTGATGAGAAAAAGACAAAGTTTCCAACTTTTGATCAGATAATGAACCAAGAATCCACTTTTGAGCTTCGTATTTGATGTTTTCCATTTCTGCCCTCTAATGATGTTAAAGACGCATTAATGAGACACAGGAAGTCACAATGATCTTTTTTATTGTAGAAATAAATTCCAAACTAAAAATGGACACTGCAAATTCTAGACTAACATGTCCTCCACCTCCTGAAGCAAAAAGTAAGTCCATGATCTGATCTTTGTCTCATTTCTGTCCTGTAATGATGTTAAAGAGACATTGATGGACTGACAGAGACAGGAAGTTAGATTGTAGCTGCAGGACAGAAGACGCCTCCTGCTGTCTCCAAACCACACAAATATCTACAGAGATTTATTCCTCCTGGTTCATTGAAGGTTTTGTCTTTGAAGATCTGACATGTCTGAAGTGTGAAGCAGGATGGGAGCAACATGGAGGAAACTGTTATTATTTCTCCACCAGTAAATCCTCCTGGACTGACAGCAGACGTTCCTGCACTGATCTGGGATCAGACCTGGTGAAGATCGACAGCAGAGAGGAGCAGGTATGAAACTCTGCTGCAGGTTCAGCTTCTCTCTGGTTTCATCTCAGCTCAGAAAAATCTCATTTTTAACAACTTTTCCTGTTCAGGTGTTCCTCATAGGAAGAGTGAGAGACTTAATGAAGGATAATCAGGATAAGTTCTGGATCGGACTGACAGACTCAAAGGAAGAAGGAAAATGGCTCTGGATGGACGGATCAGCTCTGGATCAAAGGTTTGATTGATGATAAAACGTCTCTGTTTGAATTTTTCTCTGTGTCTTTATCTGTTATTTTCTTTGTGTTTCTCTCAAAGTTTGAGTTTTTGGAATCAGACCCAACCTGACAACAAGAGTCCTGCTCATTCAGCTGAAGCTGACTGTGTGAGGATGGGAAAGAAAGAAAAGAAAGGAGGATCTGATGATCTGAAGTCCTGGTTTGATACGTCCTGTAAACGTCCTCAGAAAAGTATCTGTGAGAAAACAGCTAAACTGAGTTCAAGTGTTTGAAGTTTAAGATCAAGAAGCTGCAGAGATGAAGGTTTTATAAACATGTTGTCACATTTAACATTTATTCCTTAAAATGTTAACATACTCTTTAAATTTTCCATCAAAATTATTTTTCCTTGATTTGTTTTAATGTTAAACTCATTATTATTATTGGCTGTATAAGCTGTAAAAGCCTCGACTGGCCAACAGCAAACAGGAAGTTTGTTTCCTGTTGTGCATCAGATTAATACGCTCCTTCCTCCACTTCCTGTTTTTACATTTAGACTTTTAAAAGCTAAGATGTTTCCTTCTTGAAATGGTTATTTTTTAAAGAACAACATATAGCCTTACAGCTAAAAACAATGTGTTGCTATAGCGATGTCATCTGCCCTTTTCATGTTTCCGTTTTATTCTTCACTCTGTTAACTTATCTATAATTACAGGCTGAGGTCATTTTTAAAACACCAGTTTTCGTTTGAAGTGATGTTTCTGTTTCTAAATGGTTCATGGGCGTCTAGGATGAATCTGGAAGATATCTGGTTCATTAATTTGTCTTTTTGATCTCTGGAAACAGTTTTAGATGTTTATTAGATCTAAATGTAGAAATGTTGTATCTGAGATGAAATAGTCTGCAAATAAAATGAATGACATCGACTTCCTGAGGCTTTTCTTTTCATAGAGGGAGGATGATTCGATCATTTCCATCAAGACAAACTGTAAGCTGCCTTCAGGTCTCTACTTTCCTTCTTACTCATTAAGCATTACATTTCACCTTAAAATATCTGAAACAGCAAATATGGACTTGCTGCCCTCCTCTGGTCAATTTTGTATGTCGAGTTCTTATATTTTTACTCTCATCTCCCAAAGAGAATATCAGAAAAAAGTTCAAATATTTAGTTGTTATTGTGAAATATTCCAGGCCTTTTTCTCTTGTAATGTTGATGGTTGGAGCTTACAGAAAATGAAAATCCAAAATTCAATCTGTGTATGAGCTATAGGATATTCATAGAAGGTTGAGTGGAAGGAAAAAGTGCACCAGCTGCATGGATAACTGCAGCCTTGAGAGGATTGTTGAGCAGAATCCTTTAAAGAATCAGAACTGATCAGTGGCCCAAGTCCTGTTTTCAGATGAAAATAAAGTTAAAATTTTGTTTGGAAATCAAGGTCCCAGAGTCTGGAGGAGCAAAGAGGACCAGAGTCCACATAGCTGGAGGTCTGAGGTCAAAGAGCTGCAGCTGATCCAGATGCTGCTGCTCACATTCTCACTAAAACCAGGAAGATGGAGACATAACACCAGTTTTAAAGTCCCTACTGGCTCCCTGTAGCTCAGAGAATAGACTTTAAAATACTGTTGTTAGTTTATAAATCACTGAATGGTTTAGCACCACAATACATTAAAGATCTGCTGTTGCTGTACCAACCGTCTAGACCCCTCAGGTCGGGTCCTGGTTCTGCTCTGCATCCCCAGAACCAGAACCAAACGAGGAGAAGCAGCATTCAGTTTCTATGTACCACAAATCTGGAACACACTTCCAGAAAACTGTAAAACAGCTGAAACACTGAGAGCCTTTAAATCTCGACTAAAACCCACCTGGTTGGAGTTGGATTTGAAACCTGATTATGAATTTAGTGATGACATCAAAACATCAGAATCTGATTCTATGTTGTATAAAGCACGTTGAAACGCCTGGCTGCTGAAATGTGCTTTACAAATAAAATTTGATTTGATTTCAGGTGAAGTTTCTACAGACAGTGACCATCTGCTGGTTCTGGTCCACTGGGTTTTTTTAATTCAGACATTTTAGAGCTCTTCATGCGTCCCATAAAAATATTTAGGTGATTTCTACTTTAATGAAAATTATATTTGTACCACATTCATGTTTTAAACCTGGTCAAACCTCTTGAATGACTTTTCATTAGCTCTGCTTCAAACCAGCTGGATGGTTCTGCCAGTTATGGACTGTTCTTCTACAGCAGAGCTGAAGAGTCTCTACTGTTGGATTCTCCCTGGTTCTCTGGTTTCTTCCCACAGTTTAAAAAATGACCAACTTAGCTGGTTTCTTTAGATCACCCTCTTATATCAGTGTGTGTCTGGTTGTCTGTCCTGTGTCTCTGTGTTGTCCTGTGATGGACTGGTGTCCTGTCCAGGATGTCCCGTCTCTCTCCTCTAGATGGCGGTAGGCACCAGCCCCTATCTCTCTGTAGTTATGAATGAGTGAATGGAAGAAGACATCATTGATGACAAACAGAAACCTGATGAAAAGCTGAAACAGGAGACAAGTTCATCTGATATTAAAAACATTAGCAAACTAAAGAAAAAATATAAAAAATAAATAAATAAATAAAAAGCAAGAGCAGAATCATAAATAAAAAGGACATTAAAGTTTATCAAATGGTGATTTATTTATTGTTTTAATAAAAGATATACAGTTTACCAAGCAGAGTTATAAGCTCCAAAAGAAATAATATTTTTTATGAGTTGAAAACATCTCATAAAAACACAAAAGTAAATAAAAGAGACTGATAGTGAAACATAGTTAAGAAACTATCAAAGCTGTAATATTTACAGAAAAAAGCTTTTTGTACAGTGCATGTTTTTAATCTAAACTCAACATTAACATGTTGTCTGATTATAAATATGTTTAAACGCTGCATCACTTTAAACAATCACATAAAACATAAAGGTAAATAAAAGAGACTGATGGTAAAATTATCTTTTCACTCCATTTTCAGAACCGTCCCTTTAAAACTTAAAAAGAGCTGAGAAAATATCAGAGCTTTATATGAAACTGTCCTGGTTAAATATTTACAGAAAAACACGTTTTGTGCAGCAAACTTTTTTTTACTTGTATGAGCAACGACCATGAATGTGTTGTCTCTTTATTAAGTTGTTTTAATGCTGCATGAGTTAAAATAAGATTAAAAAAAAAACAGAGACAGACATTAGAAAGCAGAAACTCATCTAACATTGAGCTGTAAATGAACCTGACATCATTCACACAAACTCTGCATCTTTACATCTTGTAGGTTTGTGTGAAAACATAAAAAAATAATAAATTCATAAAATAAATTCATTTCATTCTCTTTGGTTTTGGAGCTCATACAAAATTTGACAACATGGCGGTTTTATGCACATGATGCCTGTGGTTGTGTTAGTGTGAGTCAGGTGCAGTGATGGTTTTGTGCACAATACAATGATATCCTACAGGCACCCATGCCACACACACACACACACACACACACACACACACACACACACACACACACACACACACACACACAAAATGTCTATCCAGTTTCTGGACTTTTCTCACAGACACTTTTTTGAGAATTAGAACAGAAAACATCGTACCAACATTTGAGGTTCTGGGATCCTCCTCTAGTCCCCATTATTGCACAGTCTTCTCCCTCTGGATTTGTTCCCTTAGGACCTTTCCAGTCATCAGGTAATCTATCCCAAAAACTTAAACTGAAAGATTCAAATCAGAAACACCTGTAGTAATAAACACGACTTCAGCTTTGGAAAACTAAACTGTTTCCAAACCAGCCAAACCTTTTGTCCAGAGGTGATCCGTCCACCCAGAACCATCTGCCTTCTTCCTCTGAGTCCGTCAGTCCGATCCAGAACCGGTCCCAGAAGTTCTCCATTATGTCTCCCACTCTTCTCGCCAGAAACGCCTGAACAGAAGCAGAGAATGACTCAGTGACGTGTTTCTGTGCTGACTGGATCAGGAGAATCTGGACCTGCAGCAGAGTTTCATACCTGCTCCTCTCTGCTGTTGATCTTCACCAGGTCTGATCCCAGATCAGTGCAGGAACGTCTGCTGTCATTCCAGGAGGATTTGTTGGTGTTAAAATAATAACAGTTCATTTGGTTTAGCTCCCAGCCTGGTTCACACTGCACACACGGGGGTTCTTTAAACATAATCAAAGCAAAGACCTTGATGAGTCAGGAGGAAGGAAGTTGTTGATGTTGGAGTGATTTTGTGTCTTACTCATATTTACTGCAGTTGGAGGAGGAAACACAGGAGGTTGTTGACAGGCTGAAGGACGAGGCGGTGGGCATTTATAAGTCCATTTTGTTTCAGAGAGAGAATTTAAACATTTCTTCACACCAAAGTCATAATAAATCAACATCCTGTGTCAGAATTAACCTGATGAATCCTGCTAAAGTTAAAAACCTGATTCAAAAATAATCCCAACTACAGTTAAACTGACATTATATAAAACATAAATAAAACCAGAACACAACACATTACAGAGACAATATATTTAATGTTCAAATGGAAATCTTTATTGTGGTTTTGCAAATATTTACTTATTTGCAAGTTGATGCCTGCAACACTTTCCAAAAACATTGAGACAGATGCAACAGCAGGATGGGAAAGTTGAGGAAAACACTCATTTGGATCATTTCACAGGTGAACAGGTTGATTTGAAACATGTGAGAATCCTTATTGGGTATAAAGAGAGGATCCCAAAAGGCTCAGCCATTCACATGCAGGCATGGGGCAAAGGTCACCACTTTGTGCAAAACAGTGTCAGTCCTTAATAAAATCAAAAGATTCAGAGGATCTGCAGAAATCTTTGTTAGCAGCCAGGGTGAAAACCGACAGTGAAACCCTGTGACCTTTGACCCCTCAGCCGGCACTGTATTAAAAACCCACATCATTCTGTGATGTCTTGACTTGAAGTCAGAAAGACTTCAGAAAACCAATGTCAGTGGCCCAGTTCTTCGCTACATCTACAAGAGAAAATTAAGGTTTATATCAACAGGATCAAGAAACTCTGCTGGTTTCCATCAGAGAAACCAGATGGACTGAGCCAAACTGGAAAAGTGTCCTGAGGTCTGACATCTCAAACTGCTCTTGGAAATCATGGGTGTTGTGTCCTCCTGGCCAAAGAGGATTATAATTGGTGCAAAGTTCAAAATCTGTTTATTTGTTCATTTATTGGAATGAACAATAATGAGCCACCAAGTGGTTATTAATCTTATTCTGTTTTTATTTATGGACTACACAACATCCCTACTTCATTTGAATTGGGTTATAAAACAAGTTGTCGGCACTCGGTCTCACCTGAGATGTTTTCCCTCAGAGCTTCATTCTCCTCTTTCATGATTTGGAGACTTTGTTTGGTCTCCAACACGACAAACGCTGATGACAAAATGACAAAACAGATGGAGACAAAATTGCAAAGATGTTCACACAAACCATTTGGTTTCTGTTTTGATGTGAATCAATGACATGAATGCCCCACCAGGATGAACTCACAGAGTCTGTAGATGACGATGAGAGCAGCAGCCAGCAGACCGACCAGAACCGGCAGAACTACCCCCCCTGCTGGCAGCTTGGAGGTTCTGCTGCGGGTTTCATGAGAGGCAGCAGCTTCTTCAGGGTTCTGTTGACGATTCATGATGCAGACGCTCCAGTCCCACTCTGAGAAACAAAATGGAATATTTATAAATCAGATGATGCATATATATGTGATTTAGAGCCGATACAAACAGTGAGGAACTAAATTAGTCATTTAGCCAAGATTTTGATAACTTTTACCACCACAATCCTTAACTGTGTACTGACCAAAGATACTCCTAGCTCAAAATCCCCAGGAGTTGTATAAATGGCAAAAATGGTCAAAATTTACCCTGTGGCCCAAAATGGCCGCCTCCCAGGACATTTTAGGACATACTTCCAAGAGATTTGTTTTCTTGATTTGATTTCTTCTGTGTACGGTTTGTCTCAGTGTAGGGGGCGAATTATCAGATATAATAATTTCTAAATGCCCTAAAATATCTTTCTCTGGAAGAGATCATTTATGAAACTTCAAAAGTTGTTTTAGGTAACCATAAAATATTAAATTAGCTTAAAACTTTAATGCTAATTCAGTACTTTAGTTTGAGAAGTTCCAAATGTTTCCTGAATCTAAACATGATATTTTCAGATTAAATTCAAGCTCATCTTACATAAATGACAGTTTGGTCAAATTTGGCAGATATTCTCTGAGTGTTTGTTGGTCAGAAATATTTAAAAACTCACCATAAATGTGTCCTCTGTCCTCTGCAGGCGGAGCAGAATGATATTAATCAGAACATCTTTGCTCTTCATATCTAACGAAGCTTCCTGTCGATCCTCATCTGCAGCCTCCTGTCACATGCCTCCATTTTCACTTATTTGGTTAAAGCCTGTTTATTAATAACCCTCCATCGCCTCCATTGCCTTTCAAACATGTTAGATTCAGACACATAAGTGACTTTTGGAGCTTATTGCTGTTATTAATCTCAAATTTTCTATTTTATTTGACTGTTGAAGCTAGAAAAGTTTTTTTTGGCCCCGTTTCCCTTTTTTTCTATCAATAATGGCCCCAATTTGCCCTTGTAGTGACTTTCATAGTAAAACATATTCAACAATGACCTCCTGGTAGTTTTTGTGGCAGCTGGTCCTCACTGTGAAATCACACAGGATCGTCTGAAGAGAAACAACCAAAAACAAAACTCAAGTTTTCACTTCTCTACCCAAAGAGTTAAATATGTTTTTGTCCTTAAAGCTCTTCAGTTGCTGTGGAGTTGATTGAACTTTGACGCCTTATTAATTTAGTATTTAGCAGGTATAATTAAAACAGAAAACTTGCCAATGCTGCAAATTCTTTATTGATTTTACATATTTTACAGGAGACCTGCTGTTGTAGAAAATAAAATAAGGTAAAGATTTGTTAAAATCCCACCAACATGTTTGCCAAAGAAGTTAAAATGTTTTAGATCATCTTTAGGAAACGTGCAGAGAAACCTGAGAATATTTTCAGACCGAATTGAGCTTCAAACAGAGAAACACAGCTAAGCTGCTTTCACACAAATACTTCTCAGATAATCATCACAATATCCATCCAACCACACAAGATCAGAATTTGTTGTCTTCATCATCCTCCCACAAACCATCTTGTTGTTGCAGTCATGTGTTCGTCCACCTGCACAATCAGGCTGATTAGGACCCAAAAAACTAGGAGACGAAGAACATAAAGAGATTTAAATGGGCCTCAGTGAGTTTAACTTGAAATAAAACCAAATAACTTCAGAACAATCAGACCTTGTGTTCAGTGGAGATCCGTTCACCCACAACCAGGAGCCTTCTGTCTTTACGGCGGTCAATCCGATCCAGATTATTTCATTAACACCATTGATTTTTTCCCTCACTTTCCTCAGCAGGAACGTCTGAGCAGAAAAGGGTGATGAAGGTACATGATAATGAATAATCATGTGAAACCAGAGAGAAGCTGAGCTGCAGCAGAGTTTCATACCTGCTCCTCTCTGCTGTCGATCTTCACCAGGTCTGATCCCAGATCAGTGCAGGAACGTCTGCTGTCAGTCCAGGAGGATTTAGTGGTGGAGAAATAATAACAGTTTCCTCCATGTGGCTCCCATCCTGCTTCACACTTCATGTCAGATCTTCAAAGACTTCAGTGAACCAGGAGGAATAAATCTCTGTAGATGTTTGTGACAAAGATCAGATCATGGACTTACTTTGTTCTGTTGGACATGTTGGACGTGGAGGACATGTTGGACATGTTGGACATGTTGGACATATTGGACATGTTGGAGGTGGAGAAGTTTTGCAGATTTCAAGCTCACTCTGGGTGTTTCTGTAGTTTGTTTCTGTTTAGAAAAATAAAAAGGGTTTCATGTCAGTCTACCTTCACAAAGTCCTGTTTAATCTAAGAAGTCACAAATAAAATTAATCTGTCAGAATGAAACTTTATGACTGGACCTTGTGGACACCAAAAGAACATATGTTAACATGTTTATTTATCTATTTATTGATCTATGACCGAATGATTATCATCTCCACTGACTTCCCCTTGAATGGTGCCACTCCTCCATCTTCTCTCAAGTCCCAACAGCATCAAAGTTACATGACCGACTTAAAGAAGTGAGTTTATCTATCAAAGCTCTCAAGGTGAAGTGATTTTATCTCTGGGCTGGAACCTCCTTCCTGTTCTGACTGACATGTTATGGTCGTCGTTTGATCACATAGATCCAGTTTACTTTGTATTTCAACCATCAACACTTTTGTCCTGCTGCTGACAGTCTGGCTGAATGTTGGCCTCACATCACCAGCTGCATTTCCACTGACCAAAGGATTGCACAAACTCAAATTACAAAAATAATTTAAAATAAAAAAAAAAATCTAAATTTTTTTGCCAAAAGGTTTTTGCACTCAGATGAGGTGATTTTAACAGGTTTTACATTCAGGGGCAAAAAATCATTAATCTGTGAAGAAAGTAACATCAAGACGGCTATGTACCACTGGCTGCAGATAGGTGGCGCTCAGTTTGTTCTACCCACACATGTAGCACCTGAAGTGGTTGAAACCAATCATTTNACGCAGGAAAAAAAATTTTCGACCGCTATCTCGTTATAACGAGATACGTATCTCGTTAAAACGTGATAGTATGTCGTTTTAACGAGTTACGTATCTCGTTATAACGAGATAATTTTAGGTCCAGGAAGTGGCGGTATTATGCTAGGCTAGTACAGTGGCTAACATGAATTGGTCAGGTTTCCCTTCATGTTTGGTCTACAACATGTAGAGATACGGATGCTGCTTTGCACTGTGGTTAAAACCATTAACAGCATGCCTACTCTGACAAGATCCTAAACAGAACGGGACTGCACAGAAGGAGACGTTAGTCCGGTCCTCTAGCTGTGGCGGCGTTCCTGACTGGATCGAAGCTGAAGTTGGCTTTCGATTGTAGCTTCTGATTTGGGAAATGGCTAAAGGGAGATTATAACGGAGGCTCAGATGTATTTGATGAACATTTTCTGGTCAGATTTTTTATTAGAACAGTACACTTGCTGAACAACGGCAAC